GTCAAAGGTTTGAAAGACTCTTGTCATAAAAGACTCTTTGGTTTCATTATTTTCGTAGGTGCAACAAGCAGTAAGGAAACTCACGATATTCTGTATGCCAGGCAAAAAATAATAGTCACAGCAAAGGCATTTGGCCTTCAAGCAATAGACCTTGTTTACATCGATTTCCACGATGAAGACGGGCTCCGCAGGCAATCAAGAGAAGGTGCCTCAATGGGATTCACCGGTATGACTTTCTGCCAATGTCTCAAAATAACGCATATCTTCTTCATTTTAAATATATATTACTACATTTACTGTAACTTAGACAAATAACTTGATTTTTAATTTCAGGTCATTTATTGAAAAACTCATTATACCAAGCTCTTCTAGGTTCATTAGCATCTTAAAAATTGCAGCTGGAAATTTTGCCTAAAAATTCACAGGCTGCTTTTTGAAACCACATCCCATGAAGCGTGTGAGTGGTTTTGAAGAGAAGTTGGGGTAGGGGCTGTGCAGTGATTCATCCCATCACAGAGCATGGGAAAGGTGATACTGTACTCTGCAATGGCCACTCAACAGCTGGAGCTTTCTCTCTTTGTTTTAACAACGGCAGTTGTTAAAAAATACTTTTTAGGCAGAGGAGGGGAGAAGCGAATCTCGCATGCTAACTGTTAGGAGAAAGTTATTTTCTTATTATTTTCTTTGATTTGTTTCTCATCTCCTGGCTCCCCTGCCAGTTAGTGCTGATGACATCTACGGGCATTGGCAGAGAGCAAGAGCAGCAGGGTCCTTCCCCCCGAGTCCTGTAATGCAGCCTGTTACACTGTGATTGGTATGCCAGGTCACTCAGACACCCTGTTGGGACAGTGCAGCCACCAAAGTTTGGGGTTCTGCAATAGAAAACAGCCATTTGACACATGGATTAGAGAATTGTAATACATAGGACGAACATTACATTATTTTTTCTCTAACCATCACTCAGGGTATACATACACTACTAGTACATCCCTTGGGTTTTTGTTACCAAAAGCACGGGTCCTGGCAACACCACCTAGCAAACTCTATTTTTACAGTTAGCTTTACATGATATCTTAAAGCACCAAGTGAAAAAAACAAGTGTTATTTTAACTGATTTTGGCGTGCCAGTGAAAGAATAGCGATTGATGCTCTTCAGCACAAACTCTGCTTTACTGTCTGTCGAGCTTCAACATTTGCAAAACCAAATATTGTTTCAGAGGTGAAATGGCTAGCTCCTCACAGCTACATTATCCACAGCCATGTGGACTTCCACTCATCTGCCTTTGAAGCTGGAAAAATAATAGAGCTGCTGAATGGTAGCACCTGCTGACGGCTACCTAGTCTCAAGCAATATTTCCTAGCTTAAGGAAAGGCTTGATTTTTGAAAAAAAATAAGCATCTGAACCTCCTGTTGACAGAAGATGGAGTTGCAGATGCCTAGCACCTTTGAGAGGACTCTTTTTGAATGCTTAATGTGCATTTAAATACTTAACTCAGGCTGCCAATTTAGGAAATTTAGAAATGCTCAGCATAACCAGTGTTGATGGTGGTTTGGACTCCACTGACTTTATGGTGGAAGTTGTCTGACATTGTCTGACAGAGTCCAGACAGGAGACAAACAAAAAGGTCACGTGTGGCAATTTAGAGTGTATAGTGACTTTCTAACTTGGCCATAGATGTGTCTTGCCTTTCCATACATGGAGTAAGGGTCTGTAAAAGGTATAGACTTCATAAAGGTGAACTCACAGCTCCCCCTCTTTGCCTCCTGCCTTTCCTCAGGAAAAAAACACATTTCCAAAATCCAGCAAACAACCTGACCAGTCCAACCATAATTAGAGACAGGCAATACTGATTTTTCTGATTTGGGGGGTGGGAGGGTGGAAATTTAAAAATTTGTTTAAGCTAAAACTAAACAGCATTTTTCATTTTATTTTGTTAAAAAAAAAAATATTTTAGATCAATCTAAAACATTTCACTTGCTCTTTGTTTCTTTTTTTTTCAGTTTATCTAATGCTTTTATAATCTTTCTTGCTTGTTTTGATTAAAATAAAATGTAGTTTCAAAACTGAAAGCAAATTTTTTTCCCAAACCTATGTAAATGAAACATTTTAACATTTCCAATTTCATTCATCACAAAAAATTACAAATGGGTCTTAGCTTAATCCATGACCTTGTATACAGCAGAAGTATGTACATTGTATTTGTCACTGACAGTCCTCTGATAATGTGAGAGTAAAGTACTGAAATGTTGCCTTAATAACAAGTCCAAAACATGCAATTCTTCTAATTTTTAAATATATAAGGTCCCTTCCTGCTACTTTTTCACAAAGAATCAGATGACCTGAGGCTTCCAAATTGCTCTCTTAGCTGGAGAACACTCATTTATTTGTATGCAAAGGGCTGAATTCACCACCCTCAAAAGCAATGTAAATCCAGAATATTTACCAAAGGTATATGTCCTTAGATATCCCCATATTACACCAGTAGAATTTACCTTAGTGTAATCAAATATGTTCACTCGAGATTAAACAAGTGAAATAATATAACAAAGAATTTACCAGCTAGGTAATTACTGTTGTGAACCTCACTGCTTATTCTAACCAAGTTTTCTTTTCCAGTTATCTTAAAAGCAGCCTGGCTTTCCTTCAATGAGTGTGTTAACATGAAAACAAATGTTTTCAAATGTAATTTAGCCAAATCAATAGTCCTTTCATATGTAGATTTATATATATATTTATTTATATACATTTACAGCTGTAAACACACAGTAAGATGTTTTACAATACCAGTACCTGTGGACTTTAAAACAGTGTGTTTCCTATATAAATAGGCATAGGTTTTAGAAATGTTTATGCAAAAAATTAGATTAACCTTGCCATACACTTTAACAGATGAGTTAGTTATTATAGAAAGTCCTGTGCTACATGCTGAGAAGCCAGATATAAATACGAAACAGTATAGGTTTCCTCTCTTTTGCAGTCCTTTGTAGAAGACTAAAATGACACCATCATACAGTTACCTAAAAGACTTGACAGGTATTGATTTAAAGCACGATATATCAAGTGGTACTGTAAAAAGGATTTCATGGTCATAAATTTTAATGTCTTCCAATTTTGCACTCTCTCAGTAACTTGTCAATAACAACAATTCTGTTTAAAATATTTGCTTCATTCTTACATGGCATTATGTCTCTTATACAGTTATTTGGGTATGTAGCCTGTGACAAAAATCAACCAAGTGCTATAAATCAAAAGTTAGATTATATTCTCTGTAAATTTTTCAGTAGTGTTTTAATGATAAAATGCAGGTATTTTTATAAAAGTAAATCTTTTTACAGAAATATTTTACACTTTAAAAAATCATATATGTGTATTTTTAATTTTGTTATAATTATAGATTGACTTTAAATATAATTTAAAATATACTCAACATTTTTCCCAGAAAGTTAAGCTCCTAAAGATTTTTCAAGAATTGTTGGTACACACTTCAATTTTAGAATTAGTAGTTTAGCTAGGGAGAATTTGTTATATTACAAATGAGGAACATCATTATCTTATTAATGATGGCATTTTATTTTATTAAATTGACTAAAAAACTTTTGAGTAGACGTAATGTAAAAAATATTATCTTATAAAAAATTCTCCGTGTAATTTCTTTCAAAAAATACAGTTCTTACAGGGTTTTAAGCTTTTACCTATTCGTAAACTATTTTTAAAATAGTTATGAAATTGAAATGTCAAACTGATTATTTTTATGCCTGTAAAAGCATAAATTAAACATTGTTTAATAGGAAATAAAATTGAGCCACTTATGGCTTTTTAGCAAAGGAGCACAGCAACACTGAAAGACTACTATTTCTTTGCTCGTTTAATTAAGTAGATTTACTTTGTACTCCAGGTTATCACCCAGATGCACTGTAGTCTGATAAAAGTAATCCCACGGGTTTTTTTGCGGTGGTTATTTCATTGAAAATAGGTGTATTTCTGCGGCCACGCATGAGGCTTCTCAGATCAAGTGATGGGCCGATTTCTAACGTGCAGCTGGCTCAATGTCACTGAGGATGCGGGAGCAGACCCCGTTGCGCAGGAAACCTCCTTAGGTCCTGACACTCCAAAAGTTTTCCTTGCGTGCACGCCTCGCTCCCGCGAGAGGCTGCAGCGGGCGGCAGGGCTGTGGGACCCTCGGTCTGCAGGGGACTGCTCACTTGCTGGCAGGCTTGCGGGATCAGGCTCATCCCTCTAACTAGTTTTGTTATCTGGCACCGAGGAGAGCCACTAATTCCACGGGAAACTGGGAATTACGGTAGCCTCTCTTTATTAAAATACTTTGAAAGCAAATGCAGAAATCACACCAGTCTGTGAAATTCACATAGAAATGAACTAATAATGTCAAACGTTGCAGTTTTAAAACTAGCGAGCAAATTAGACATATATTTGTTTTAAGTTAGCTAAATACAATCACGAATTAAAATGGATTATATGGCTGTCTATTCATGTTGGAAAATCACTAGTAAAAAAATAAAAGACAACTTTTTTTTTTTCTTAACTTATGTTTATACAGGAAAGGATTAAAAAGAACCTGCTTCATAAAACCTCAGGACACTGCTGGTAGTTGTTTAGCATACTGGTGACTAAATAAATATTGCAGCCTATCTGCAACTGCCAACAATTGCAGCAACAACAGTTTAAAAACCATTGAAGATTTTATGATGCCAAGCCAATACTGAGAATTTAGGGCATGATCCTTAGGTTACTGGTAACTTTTCAGTCCCACAAATCTCTCGCCATCTCCTTCAGATCTCATTTTCTGAATACACTTTAATACAACTTATTTAAGAGTGCCTGGAGTTGTTATTTATATAGTTAAATTCAGAGATGCATTATACTTAAGTGTTATTGACTGCCCCAGACAAACAATTGCACCTGAAATGACTGAGAGATGTATGGATCAAAACGGGGAGGCAGGAGAAAGAATCATGGGTTCTTTTAAACTATACTGAATGCAAGCATAGCATTTTTTATTTTTATTCTTCAAAAATTTGGGCAAGAAGCTGTTTTCCAGTTTTAAAAATAAAAAAAATCAAGTAAAATAATTAGCTAAAGAGCAAAAAAGTCTGCAAGGCATATGAGAGCCTCAAGTGGTTGGAACATTTTGCTTGAACATCTGTTTGTCGATGCATGATTCTGGTGTTATTAATCTTCTTTGTAGGTAAGCAGGTGATTCACCCCAACCAAATTGCTGTTGTCCAGGAACAGTTCTCTCCGAGCCCTGAAAAAATAAAGTGGGCACAAGAACTGATTTCTGCTTTTGAAGAACATCAGCGATTAGGCAAGGTAAATATTCTGTTAATATACCATAGTGGAAAGAAAATCTGATTAATATTTAAGATTTAGGAAGGTTGGGGGTGGCTCTTTGCATTTATCTTATGAAGTGTGCTGTAACTGAGAGGACTGCTTGTGAAATCTGTCTCTGGATAGACTATAGACTATATTTATTATAAATGCCTCACTCCCCAATATATTTAGAAATAGAACAACTATCTTTTCTTTCCCCCCATTTTAACTTTAATTTTTTTGATTACACAGCCTTTTGAGTACTGTATATATCTACAGCTTCAGTGAATTAAAACTGATTCTCCATTATGCCGCAGAAGCACGGTGTTACTGTCACATGAAAATATTTGCAACCAAAAGACAGGTAGCCTGGCAGACAATTCAAACTGCTTGCACAGACATCATTTATGGAAATAAATAAATGGATAAGGAAGCCTTGGGTTTCTAAAAAATATCTGTGTTGGTAGACCTGTTTCACTTTTGGGGGTTTGATCCTGCAAACATGCTCAGTAGTGAGTGAAGGTACTTTTGAGGACAACTGCTTGCAGATTGTGGTTCTTAATCATTAAAAATGGGAATGCTTTATGTGCATTTGTACCAATTGCTGGACCTGAATTTTGGATAGAGGAGAAAGCAAATTAACACTAGAATATGATTGTTCCTAATTTAGTGCATCATTGAGTCTCACGTTTCCTGCTCTGTGGGTTTCTGCTATGTAAATATTGCGGTGGTGATGCACAATCTGTCTCCACTTTGTGCCAGTAATACTTAAATTAGGGGTCGCCTGAAGGAAGATTTTATGCTAGTTGCAGCATTGTCAGTTAATTATCTTAAAGGTTATTTGCTATAATCCAGTTTGCCTCTTTTTGAAGGAAAAAAAAAAAGTTGCAGCCAAATGCATTTATCTTAGTCACAGCCAAGCCTGGGCTAGTTAAAAAGCAAAGTCCCAATGTCAGAACAGGGACTGCAGATGAGCAGGAATAGTTCACATGTGCTTGTGTAACATTCAAGTAGGAGACAAATCCCTCCGGTCGTGAAGTTCGTCTATAGGATTGTGCATAGGGTCTCACTTTCTCTGGTGCCATATAAGTATTTCCTGTACATTTTTTTTTTCTGCTTTCTGAGGGGTAGAAAAAGATTGGGGTGTGTTGCCTTCCCTGTTCCCCTGCATTTCTGATTCTGCAGATGTTGTACATTAAAAATGCTGTAAAAGTCAAAAGAGAAATTACGCTTTCTTCTCAGTAAAAGCCTGACAAGGTATTTGCTATTGCTCTGCCCTTCTCTTCGCTAGGCTATCGCATCCCCTTTGTGGTACCTGGGTGTTTCCAGTACAGCCATGACTATGATATTTGGGTGCTGTCCTGAGCAGTGATTTCAGGGTCGCTATTAGGATGCTGTATGCCAGTATCTCTTTGTTCTGTTCCCGTCGGTTTTGAAATGCAGCTCTCTACATGCAAACAATATAGAAGTAAAAAATGTGTGACTGGTTTTGCCCATTATTCCGATTTACAAAGCTTGGCTCCCTTACAAAAGGCTCATTATAAACATACTGCTGGTGCAAATGTGTAGGCAGGTAGGTGCAGAAAGAAGAAAGTCAAACAACATACTCAGCCAAATATTGTTTGTATTTCTCATGCGTTCAATACTATTCATTCAGCTGAATTTAATGTCAGAAGCTCATCTGAGGAATACCCCTGTCATATGAACAGTCGATTAGGAGACTGAACTAAATTTAACTCTAGTCCCAGTATCACATTATCACTAAGCCACACATTTAATATTGAATAATTTTGTATTTGGCAAGCATTAGTCTTTGGATTTGTTTTGAAGCTGCTCTTTTACTGACATAATACTGGGGGGGTTTTGTTTATATCAGCCATTCAGGTGGGATGAGGGGCTTTGGGGTTTGGAGGATTTTTTTCTCTTTATAAATGCTTTTAAAATGGGTTATAAACTCCTGTAGTTAGCTGCCAGACCAAATTTGCTGAGTGTTTTGTGGTTTGGGCTATTTTTTTAACCAACCAGGTTGCATGCTTCATATATTTTTGCATGTAGCCATCTATCAATAAAAAAGGACAGGCAGGTTAATATGTGAATTTCTGGATCTTGTAGCACTTCCATACCACCAGACTTTATAGTAGAATTGGAAAAATAGTTTTCCATGTAGTGCTGACAACTCCTTAACCGAGTTTATAATTTGCTATTATGATTGTGTCAGTAAGAAGAGCTTGGACCATCTGATTACTTAATATTTTTTTCAAAGTAAACATATCTCACTGAGGGATCCTCACTCTGCATCCTAGCGACATACTAAAATATAAGTAATAACTCTTCCCCTACCACCTCCTGGCAAATACTCCACGCAGCGGTTTTAGTAATCCTCATGTCCTAATGAAACACCTCTTCTGTTTTCCGTTCCCTTTTATTATATTAAAGTGTTCATGTCAGTAAGACTAAAAATATAGCTGTGGTTAATATGGTTGAGACTTGCATGGGTTTGCCATGTTATTAATCAAAGTTGAAAGCCTGGAAAAAATAAATGTGAGGGATTTGTGCAGCTGTTTTTGTGGTAGATAAGTTACTAGTCTGCAATCTGTGGGATCCTGGTTTGCTATTAATTTGGTTTAAAGTTTGATGCCCTTAGTTAACAATATTTTATATTAAAATACAGTAATAAGCTTTTATAATCTATTCCAATTTGAGACCTACATTTGTCATAATAATCTGCTTTTGAAAGAAGACTGAACCAGGCTACTTCATCCTGGAGGCTGAAATGCTTTGACATAGTAGCCCCCAAATATGACTACGGAGGTCAGGAAAAATTAGGATCTCAGATGAGCACTGCAGAATTAGAGGTGCTGTGTCAGTGTCCAAACAGAAGGAAATTAGAGAGCTAGCCAGCAAGCCAGAAGTATTAGGGCTTACCTTATGGAGATAGTCCTGTTTGAGGGGTTGCTTTGGTTTGGTTTCTAAGTTGTTTTGGTTGTGGGGCTGTTTTTTGCATTTCTAATCCAACTGAAAAATAGCATATCTAGGAAATAGATGGTAACACTGTAGTTTGGACAAGTAGAAAGCAAATGTTGAAAAAGTACCTTTTGTATTTTATTCAGCTATACGTTAAGTGCTCTCTTTTGTCTAGAGCTTTGAGATCTAAAACTAAAAAGTGCTTTAAAAGATTTCTGTATGTTTCCAGTAGAACTGCCTTACTAAGGGATATGATTTTCAAAATTAAAATATTCATCCTGAAGAAAGCAGGCATAGCTGTTGGGAAGGTCTAAATATAAGATAAATGTCAGTGTGTTCAAAAATGAAAAAGAAGAGTAATAAACATCATTCCGGTAGTCTAAAGGACAGTTTCTTTTAGAAATTTCTGAAGCATTTGTACCACATTAAACAGGGAAGTAATCTTATAAATGCAGATTAACTGAATTCAAGTGGGTAGAGTTAGCAGGAGAAGTTATTAGCCTATTTTAAGAAAAAGATCTGATTTCTAACAATGAGGGTACAATAGTCTTTACTATTTAAGTAACTCCTGCATTTACATTACCAATATACTGGATACAGGACTGTAATCTCTTCTATATGTAGTGAGTGTTCATATATGACAAAAAAATAAGACACCAAAAAGGCATTTTTAAGCCATTCAACTCATAAATACGTCTGGCACGATATCATTATCGTAATAGGATCTTCCTGAATTGTCTTATTTTTAAATAAAATCCAAATATAAAGAAAAGCAGAAGAATAAAGTAAAAGGTTGATTACACATTTATCTCACGTACTAATTTATAAATGCTTTCAAAGCACCCACACATTAAACCAGGGAATAACTAAATGCTGCCACCAAAGTCACTTGTCAAGTAAGGATTATTTAGAGTTAAGGTAAGTAATTCACAAACCCAAGTTGTAATATGGGTTGAATATTTTAGATCCCATAGAGCAAAACAAAAGAAATATCTGTACATGCCACATACAAATGCACAGAGTGCTTCTAAGAAGACTTTTAGCATATGTTTCTTGCATTATATTCTGTGCCATTGTGCATCGTGTTCCCGGCAGCTGAGGAATAATATATATGAACTCCAGTGATTTGGCAAACTATACAATTTCATTTACGGACCTTTCCAGGATTATGAAAAATCTTAGGACTGCATTTATTTACACAGCATCAACCCAACAAAGGAATGGAAATTTCCAGCAGTGGCTCCTTTATAATGCTCTTTGTTTAGGAAAAGCTACCCCAAGCCACTGTATCTTGGAGACGATGCGCCCTCGTGCTTGGGCCAGCTCCAGCTCCCACTGCCTCACAGGGAGGTCTCTCCACGCTTCCCTCCCTCTCCCGGCCGCGCCGCAGATCCCGTGAGGGCTCTCCGTGTACAGCCCCAGCCACACGGGATCCATCCTGACCCCATCCAGCCCCTGGTTGCTAGGAAAGCAGGACCATGTCCCAGGGGCTGCCTCTTGGAAGGACTGCGCTGGACCATCGCTCTGCCATGGGGCTGTATGGGATCCCATCGACCCACAGGGATTACACTGAGTTTTATAGGGCATTCTGTCTTGGGGCTTTATGAGGAGCTGGGAGTGAGGGAGCAGCCCAGCTCCCCACTCTCCTTGCCCAGGACAGACTACGGAGCTTTGGGGTGCCACCACCTAAGCTGGATCCCTTCCCAGGGTGACAGTGGCAGCACCCTGTGCTGCTGAGCCTGCCTCTGTGCATGCTGAGCTGCAGCACTGCTAGCCCTCCCTCTGAGAACACAGGGCATTTGCTGTCATTTATGTTAATTAGGCAATGTACATTTCTTCCACTGCAGGGTAGGGGATTCAGGAATTTGTGGTAAATTGGATCTTCAGCCTTAAGAAATATAGGCTCAGGTGCAACTCTATGCAAAGATGAAGAGTGCTGGTGGGATTTAAGCATGGGCCACTGCTATGTTGTTTATCTTTTTAAGGAGTGGCCAAGTGAAATTTTAATGTGAAAACTGATGAATAAATAGAGGTCAAGAGAGCTTATACTAGTACTCAAAGTTTCTCTATACAGTTTCAGTATTTCAAAAATACTTTAGAAATGTGTTTTGTGTCACAGTTGAAGGCTTTTCTCTTAGAAAGATCCATCTGGGGGCAAATTTTGAACCTTTACAATGGAGCAGAAGGGGCTGCATTGGCTAATTGCTTGTGCTATACTCGTTCCTACAATGGTGAAATCAGTCCTGAGGGAGTTATGCCAGGTGGGAAGAGAAGGAGACAGATTTTACTACACGGGGCTGCAAAAGCTTCTAAGCAGGGCAGAAACTCATACAAAACATTTTCTTGCCAACTTCTCCCCCTCCCACTCCCCAGCAGGCATTTGGTGGCTCTTAATCTGTTTTCCTCCACTCGTTAAAGACCTGTGTCCAAAATGCAGAGGGAGAGAGACTCGGGTGGCACTTTGATATTTCCCGCAGGGAGAAGTTTCTCCATGAGCCTGGAGCTGGACAGATGCTGTGCCCCTCCATAGCCTTTCCACCCAGAGGTAGCTCCTGGAAGAGGCTCCTCCTGTCCCAGGGGACATGGGCCCTGCAGAGGGCACAGGATGGCACCTCTCTGGGTTCCTTCTCAGCAAGGCACAGCCCCTCTCTATCCCTGTTGGCTCAAGGATACATATGCAGGGTGAGTGCCCTTGCTTTTGGAAGAGCCGTGCTGTGTCGGCACATTCCCAGTCAGTCAGTGCTTTGTTATGGGCATGGAGTGGGAAGACACCCATTGCTGCAGACACCTGCCCACCATTGTGCCAAAACCTGCTCTGCACCAAGCAACCCACCGAGGCAACCACCTACCTCCAAAATCCCTTTCTAAAAAGCATTAACAAGAACTCATGAGCCTCGTTCCAATTTCCAAAGCAGTATCTAACTAGAGATGTAATGTTCTGACCAGATGGCTCTTTTAAAGGCTTACTGAGGGAATTCAGAAACCTGTACAGCCAAAATATTGTTTCAGTTAATTTAAGTAGCAGCAGTCTTGCTGCCTTTGCACTCCTCTCTGTGCTAGCCAGCTTTTTCAGGGACCTGGAGAGGCTCTCTGCAACAGCTCTCTCAGCTGAAATAGAGAATCACAGTAAAATATGGCTGTTCAATCCTATTCAGAAAATGAACCTAACATTAGAAAAAAGCAGACAACACAAAAATACAGGCAATTCCATTCTTGTTGGCAGAACAAGCTTCACTATTATTATTTTTCTCAGCTGCGTTGTATTTTATGGCTACCTTTCCCTTCAGTATCAAATGCCTTTTGTGTGTCCTGTAATCAGTCATTTAGTTTCAGATTGAATTTTCTAGTTTAACAAACTGCTTCCATGACTATAAACCTCAAGTTAATTCCAAATTACTTAATTAAGGGCATCTGAGGATACTAAGGGTCTTAATATTAGTTACTTTTCACTTTTCCATATA